TCTCTGCTTATTCCAAACTCCCCTTGGCCCTCAGGGAATCTGTGCCATGGCAGGCTAGCCTGTCCCCTCCCAGCAGACTTCACAAGCTTTTATGGTACTTCATGGCACTTCTGTGAATTATTAGTATGGAAAATAGTTCGTGTTTTATTGTAAATTACTGTTATTTGCAACTTCCAGTTTTGCAGTTCCCACTGCACAGAGATCAAGGACCCAATTTTTTTCCTTTGTATACATCAGTGTAAATCAAGATTAACTCCACCGAAGTCAGTCTAATCACAAGTGTAAAACTAGGAGGAATGAATGAAAAAATCATGCTATAAACTATTTGCTTTTATTTTTAAATAGCAAAATTTATGCTGCTGTTCTGCAGATACAGGGTGACCTGAGAGTACTTGCTCTTGCGTTACTAATGCATCTCCATTTAAATGCAGATTTCTGCTCCTAACACAGAACTTCAGGGAAATCCTCTCCAGATAAACTGTAATAGGATACCAAATGGTAATTCAGTATTTCACTTGAACTTGTGTTTCAGCTTATTGATCTTAATTTTCTATCATTCTGATGCATCATTTGCCTAGGGGGAATAGGACTACATTCACTATAATGAAGCTTTTAATTAATAATTATTTTTTTTTTATATTCCAAACCTCCATGCCAGCAGTGGCAATCTGCTTGTATCCCTGTACCTATTTCTATTTTCAGTGCTGGAAACCGGCAAGATGTGTCTTTACATATTGCAGGAAGTAATTGAGACACACAGTTGGGAAAAGGAAGCATAGTACAGGTATCACAGAATCTGTGGGACATGCTTCATTGTGAGTGTGATTTGTTCTTAGCCATTTGTTGTCACCGGTAGTAAGACCCTGGGGACCTTTGTGCTACACTGCTGCATTCAAGAGCTTTGCAGAAGACTTTGGATAAAGACACAGGGCATGAATGTTCTGCCATTCTCAAACCAAAACCACTTCCTTCTCTAAATCTGAATTCTTGTAAGGAAGGACTTGAGCCTCGTAAATTCCTCTTCCAGCATGACCGCCAGGTACTGCAGTTAAAAGCCTCTCTCACAGCTGCCTAGATTTTGCTGTGGTTTTGGTAGAGATGCAAGAAAAAACAGATGCTCTGCTCTCTGCTTGCTCAATTTAGCCTCTCAAATTAGTTACATGATTTGCTTTTGCCATATACAGTATGTTTAAGAAGAAATTTTTCTCTGTATATGCCACTCTCAAGCTCTGCTTACGTGCAGCTTGTAAGATGTACATGAGACCTTGATACAAGCTCTCTTCTTCTGGACTGGACTGTAAATCTAAGTATGCCAAATAGTACAATGGAGTAATAGAAATAATGTTCATAAGTCTACTAGATCATGAATACAGTTATTAAGAGTATCCCAATATTGAGAGTTAGTGTTTTTGCACCACCTAACACGATGAGAACCAACCTAATTATAATTAGTCCCCATTGTCAGTTTCCAGGCTGAAAGCCTTCAGTGCAATGGTAAAAATACTGCAAGGAAGGCTTGGGTGTCATTTTCAATATCATCAACTGAAAAAGAAAACTCCCAACCATGTTAGAGGCATGAATATGTTAAGAGTTTTTAAAGTACATTTTGAGGTTTAGACTTTTTTTGTTTGACTTTTTTATATAGCTTGATTAATTATAGGGTGCATTTGTTAACATTTCCAAATGTTGCTCTGGCAACCATAGGATTCATTAATTTTCAAAATCTTACATCCAAGATTAACATTTCCTACATGGCATTCTTAAGAACTCCACGTGGCATGTATTTTAAAAAGTATCAAAATACAAGCAATACAATAGTAGAAATTGGAAGTCTTAGCATCATTGAGACCTCCTTTGTAATATAATTTGGTCAGTAAAAGGGATGTCGTAAGAAATAATGACCTTTCTGAACTTCTCTGAGTTATTTCCAACATTCTCAAACCCTGACAGATTCAACCACCTGCTAAACAAAACAGCTGAAAAAACACTCCTCCACTACCATATCAAAATAATCTCTGCCCATGACCAGTTAGGTCTAAATCAGTGATAAGCTGCAATCCATCAGACAGAAATGAGAAGCTTTCTTTACTGATAAGAACACAGGGCACATAATTAAAGGCTGTGTCATAGTAGATTTTGCTGTTTATTTTTTTGTTTGATTTGGGTTTGTTTTTTTCCAAAAAGGCAAGATTAGCACTTGCTTTTAGTTCTGAAGTCCAGAGTTGTCAATCTTCAAACCCACACACTGCAGGACTACTTCCTAGTTACCTTCTCCTGAGAGCACTCATGACCCCCTGCTGCTTTCCTGGGAGGCATGGCCACCTCAGCTCCGAGACACACTGACATGAGAGATGGACAGTAATGAAAAATAGTACAGCTGCATTGGAGGAGATGGGTAGAGTATTTTTCTCATCAGCAGTCTATTATCAGTAAACACAGCTTGATTGGAACCAAAGCACTAAGCAAAACTTCAGGGGAAGAAGTGTCTAACGCTGCTGGAAGGCCAGGGGGCATGTTGTCTTCAATTAATCACTTCTGGTTTTATCCAAATCAGCTTTTGATGGTTCTCATTAAAAACAAAATACTGTTATTTGTCTAAAAAAAGAAAATTTTCAGTGATGTAAAATAAATCTTCTTTTAATGACTGAATTATAAAAATCCCAGGGTTTGTTTTGTTTTTTAAATCACAATGAGATACTTTATTAAAAGCACTTTTGGTAACCGTCAAAAATAGAGATACCAAATGTTAGAAAATAAAAAAGTTGTTTTCCTTGGAGTGCACTTCAGAAAAATAATCTCTCTGGCAAGAATGGGATTTTTCTGTAATAGCTTTTTTATCCCAACGTATCATCTCTTGCTAAGACTTAACAAAGACAACTGAAAGCCACTGAAAAAAAGGGAATGGATCAGGTATGAGCTGATAAAACTTCCTGCTTCTTTGACCTTGTAAACTTCACATCATAATGCACAGTACAGCAAGAAGTTTTCCTAGAAGCAGCAGGTACATACATCCTCTTATTTCCTTTACTGGCTTAAAGCTAGTTTTTCACATTAATTACGGTTGATTTACTGAATGAAAAGCATGCATTTTTAATTATGTTAGTTGAAACGTTGGCTGGTTGTGAAACCAAGTGCTTGGAATTGGTCCATTGGAGCCACGTGAATCAGCAGCAAGGTTTTATAGCTTCTGCATTTTTCACTTCAGCATTTCAAACTGTGGTCCTTGCAGAGAAGAAAATCTGGTAGAGAGACAGATAAAAGGCTCCATCTAGCGGGCAAGAACTTTCTAGTGAAAGAAAAAAAAGGCAAGATTTTCACTTTCTTTTATGCATGAAGAAATACTGCTTTTGATTTTGTTTCATTAAGCTGCCATGTTGTTCTTAATTCTTGGCTTTTGCAGAGCCATTATTTCATATGCAAAGCTGAAACATTAAGAATCATTCTGACAGTCTTGAGCAAGAAGCAATAAATGATACTAAATGAGTGGGTTTATAACAGAGTAAGAGTTGATCCACAGAATTCTTCCTCCTCCCCCTTCAAGCTTCAATATATAGTAACCAAAAGTAGGTAATTTGTATATCAACAAATATTTAAACTATTTAAGATTCTTTTGTGCTTAAAACTGACTGCAAACATCCGTAACTTGATCATAACACTTAAAACAGTATTTTGGGAGTATTTTTATACAGGGAACTGTTCATTTCAGGCTAATAACAAACTGGGAGTAGGAACAAGTAACAGCAAGCACAGGTTTAGCAGAAGAGGCACTGAACCACCTTGTGTGTCCTGCCTATTAGTCAGACTCTCATTTTCAAGCCATACAGCTTGGCAAGATCAACTCCTCCTGTGCAGCTTCCGGCAATGGGTAGACAATGTAGCATGCATTGTATTAATACGTTACGACACCCAGGTTTACTATAGCCCATGTTAATATGCACAATTAGAGTCTCCTGTGCAAATCACAAAATTGGACTTAATATTTTGTTTTACACACCTCTTGATCACAGGGACATCATCATTTGCCATGGGCTACTTGACAGCAAATCCAGAGGATTCCTCCTTCTTCATTTGTCTTGTTTTACAGACTAAAACAAAAGGTTGTCTTGGTGTTCTTACTCCAAACTCCAAAGCAAGGACTAATACAGAACCGAGTAGTCTTAGAGTGCCTTTGGGAAAGTTCATGTTTGAATAATGCAAGAAATGCTATCTCCAAGAAAGAAGACATAGGAGATAAAAGTTAACCTGCATTTTTTTTTCTGTCTGTTTGTCTTGGGGGCAGCTTCTATCTTTGATCTCAGCTGGTAGGAAGTCTCTGTAACCTTAAAACACGTCAGCTAAAACAACAAAGAATAGATGTTTAAAAAAGTTTTTCAATATTGTCATTATGACTGCACTGTTAGCTGTCTTAAACTCTCCTAAAATTGACATTAGCTATTTGTTAGAGCAGTACTGCTTGTTTTCTAATGCATGTGGACACATACCTCACTAGGCATGAAACAAGATGCAAGTCACTTCAATGCAAATGTTAAATACCATCACTTTAACTACAGGCCTTTACTCTAGAACTGTTCATATTTTAAGAGATTCTAATAGGCTTGCTACTGAGCTAAAGCAAATTCTGTGTTTGGAACTACAGTAAGATCCTCTGCCTCGTTTTATTTTAAATCCTTTGTCTAGCACTGGTACTTGATCTGATACCAACAAAATACAAATTTCCAGATGTGAAACTCAAGAGTAACATTCAACAATCTGCTTGTATAATAATCTACTGTAAACTCAAAATGCTAATTTGGAGATTAAGTATCAATTTATTTGACTCTACAGGTCATCGTCTCATACAAGCCTTCTAATTAATATTTAATACAGCTATTTTAGATGTTGTTTCTCTCTGTTCAGGTGTTTTTTCCTTCTTTGCAGAAGCTGCAGTCTTTACAACAATAAATGCACATCAATGCATTTGTTTCAAGAGTACCACTAAGTCTCTTACTTCTTTTTCACAGCTAACCAGGTGCTGAAGTTTGGAACGCTCGTCAGTACTTCCAACACCTACGACAACTCCGGGATCGTGACCATTGAGACAGACAAGCCTTTACTGTGGACAATGGCTATCAAAATATAAGATCTATTACAGCTGCCTTTTCTGATCTGACTCAACTCGTATTACTGCAGACTTTCACTGAATTAAGACAGTAAAGCTGTTCCAAAAGATATAAGCAGGCAGTGATTTTTATGTACTGAATGGAAAACAAGTCTGAAATAAAAGTCACTTGAGATCAAATCAAGATTAGTAGCAATAACTGAGTACTTCATTCTGGTACCTCACACTGCTTAATCAGAAGACATAAGCTGCTACCCAATACAGTCACAAACAAGTGAATGTGAAGAAACTGCGACTGCTTATCTGGTTAGTTCAGACTGTTTTTACAAATTATTTTATTCCAATACTGAACTATTTTTTCCCCTTTTTCCAAAAGGAAACGCAGTACAGTTGCACATAGGATAACTTATTAAAAGGTGATAGCACTGAGAGTAGTTAATCTCATTTTTCTGTCCTGGTTTGTCAGATACATAGTTGCTGGTGAAGTTTTCTCAGGAGTAATAATTGTATATTTCTACTTATTAAGCAAGTCTGTGTACTGAAGAAGCTTCAGTTTTGCCGTAATAACAATATCATATTTCCCAGTATTAAGTGCTTTTAAAGCCTGTAATAGAAGTAGTATTTTTTTTAACTTTTGTGCAGTTACCTTACAGAACCAGTATCCAAAATGGGTGTAAATCCTACCTGAGTGTGAGCAAGTTGTTGATTCACTGAAGGACTGCTTAGTATCTCTGACAACTAAATTAACCTCTAACTAAGTAATCAACTAAGTTTAGCTTTCTTAATTATGTCATCAGAAGAAGGATTGGCAATGCAGATTCTTTACTTGATGGAGGTTTTTTTCCCCTATGTTAGCGGATATTAGTTCAACGAACTGAAGAATGAAGTCCGGGGTAAGTGCGA